AGCAGTTCTCAAAAAAGTAATATGTGTGATTCTCTGTGCAGCGAACAAAGAGAGTTGTGACAAAGCAAAGCATAAGTTTGTTGAGCCTTTGACGTCATAATGACGTTTTTGCGGGCTCGTCTGGAACATGTTTTCAGCAATGGCGGACGATTTTTGGACGACTTTGAAGCGGTAAAAATTGGTCATCGAAGGTTTGTTTTGAGTTTTTAATGGCAAAAAGGGTCTTAAATTGACCCAATTCAACATTGTGTAAACAATTTAGGCCAATATAAAATGGTCAATTTTCGTCTCAGGGGCACTTTAATCGTGCGCGTGTTCCAGCCGAAGATCTTGTTGCCTACTACTGCGCATGTATTAGATCGTCCCTTGACTACGCTTGCCGTGTGTTTCATTATTCTCTACCTCAGTACTTACAGTCAGAGTTAGAAAGAGTTCAGAAAAGAGCTCTGGCGTGTATTTTTCCTAGAATCATACGGGGAATCGTTAGAGCGCGCCTGTTTGACTTCTATCAGGGAACATCACGAAGACATCACAAAGTCTTTATTTAGATCAATCAGCGAGAATCAGAACAGTGAACTACATTACTTAATTCCTTAAGCCCATAGACCTTATTATACTTTAAGGCGCCAAAGAACGTACAATGTACCAGTAGCCAAGGCAAAGCGTTTTGCTAATTCGTTTTTTGTGAAGAGTGCGGCTGAAACCAACCCAAGTTCAGATGCAATAGAACTTTTAATAGAACTCTAAGTCATCATATTTTATATTTGTATTGTAGTAGCTTGTAAAAATTGCGCAATTCAGTATTTTATTGGGATGTGATTTTAATAAACCAGTCTATCTATCTATCCATAAATTTAATGTATATTGTTTCTTTTTTTTATTTTTAAGTGAGCTTATAATGATCTTGTTTAGGACAGCCCTAATAGTACGTCAATGTGATCGGAAGACATTAAATATTTGGAAGAGAAACATAAAACTTGTCCTTTGCTCACATAGGTTTTTCTTTTGTGAAGCCCTATTAAGTGACTCTTGATGTCATGTTAAGTTCTCCTTTGGTTCCACAAGTAAACAGGCAGCACGTTGAAATGAGACGACAGTAGTTCATCCTAAGTCACCAAGGGCTTCTTTTGCAATCAACCTTTCAATTATTCGCTTACAGTGTTTTATCTGGCGGTGAATAGTACCTGTGGGCCTCAACCTAGATGTTCACTTTGCTTGTCATGCAAAGATAAATCAATAGTTTGCCGTCAATATATGCACATGCATCTGTGTATACAGCGACTTCTGGGAAAGTTTCTCATTGCCCGAAATCATAAATTTACTTAGATTCCAAGGGTGTGAGTAATATGCAGACCTTTTTCAACAATCAGAACATCACAGTGGTGAAACATAACACCAAAACTCAGTGCAGACAAATAAATATTTTACGTGGCAAGCTACATTCTCTTTTCCAGCAAAATAATCTCCTCGAACTAAGTGAAGTCTCAAGTGGGGACGAAACGCGTCCGAAATAAATTAGAAGCTTACAACTACAAATGTTATTCTTTGTGCGGCTCGCTAGTCTTAGGTAAAATGAAAGATAGAAATAATTACACACTTAAATAATGTTTGTGTTCTTAGTGAATTCTAGAAAAGCAAGATAAATTCCGAGAGTTCGTCCTTCGAGTGAGATAGATCTTAGAGTGCCAATTCAATCTTTTTTTAATGTACTCTAGAAAAGCAGGATGAATTTTGAGAATTCCACCCACAAGTGGCTAATAGCTTAGGTTCTCATAGGCCATCTTCACCCCGATTTTCCATTTAATAAGTGAATTTAAGAAAAACGACGTAAATTCTGAGCATTCATGCTACAAGTGGATTTTGAACCGGGAGCTGGGTAGTGTTCATCTGAATGGCCACACTTATTATACACCGATATCACGCACCGCCATCTTGGATCGAGTGCCGCACCAAAACGAGGGTGGACGGGCATGCGGTCATTTGGAGGGTTGCGTTACATGGAGTTTGAGTGGAAATAACTCGCAAATATGGCTCACGATCATTGCTGTGTAAATTACTGTACGAACGACAAACGAAACGAAAGTGGTCAGAATTTGTCGTTTTTCAACTTTCCTAAAAATTCTTCACAGAGATCGAAGTGGATTGCCGCGATAAAGCGAGATGAAGGGACGCTTTTTCAGGTGAGTGTCGAGTCGTGACTACAGCGAGCTGTCAAACGCACGTGTGCACTTTTGATATATATGTTCGGGAAGTTTTTCGATTTAAGACTCAGTTAGTTCCCGTCTTACTTGCTTCTTACACGTGAATTGCGTACTCGATTCATATCCAGAGGAACTATAGACTCATTACATTAGATTTTGGTCGATTTTGGCTGAAACTGTCAAACGCACATGGCACCGGTTTGTTTGTTTTCATTGACTCGAATATGATTATTAATATTCCATGAGATTCTCCCTTGTTATCAGCGATTTAATTCAGAGTGTTAAACTCGTTTCCTAGATCAAGAAAGGCTCTACTCTAGTGTGTTCTGCTCACTTCAAGCCAAGCGATATGTTTAAAACTATAACAGGGCTTATACGTCTGAAACCAGGAGTTGTGCCTTCGCAGTTTCAGTGGACAAAGTCCAGCCAAGACCGCCCACAAAATAAACTACAAGAGTTAAAAACTATGGCAGAACAGCAAGAACAAGAGGAGCGACGACAATCTTTTGTCGATTCATTCCAGCAGGATGTCAAAATGGAGGAAGGGGAGACTGGATCAGGAGGCCAGGGAGCCAGTGCTAGTGATGAGCAAATGGAAGAAATGGCTACAGACGAACCGGAAAACGAAAACATAGAACCCGCCGAATTGAGTGCAGTGGAACAAATTGAAATCCTTAAAGCACAAATCAGTGATTTAGAGCAACAGGTGGAAGATCTAAAAGGGACCAGGTTTGGAGCTGAAAACATTTCCAAAGATTCTGAATTGCTGACATTTTACACAGGCTTTGTATCAAAGGAACGATTTGATAGCTTTTATAGCTGGGTTGAACCTTATGCTAAAACCATGATAAAATGGTCCCAGATTCAGCGTGAA